GAGGTCAGGGATGGTGATGCCTCCGGATGTTGCCTTGTTGAACATGGTTGTTTTGGCTATCCTGGGTCTTTTGTTTTTCCATACAAAATTGATTATTGTTCTTTCAAGGTCTGTGAAGAATTGTGCTGGGATTTTAATGGGGATTGCATTGAATCTGTAGATTGCTTTTGGCAGGATTGCCATTTTTACTACATTGATCCTACCTATCCAAGAGCATGGGAAATCTTTCCATTTTCTGAGGGCTTCTTTAATTTCTTTCTTTAAAGATTCAAAGTTCTTATGATACAGGTCTTTCTCTTGTTTGGTTAGCGTTACCCCAAGGTATTTTATGTTGTTTGTGGCAATTGTAAAGGGTGATGTTTCTCTGATTTCTTTTTCAGCCATTTTATCATCTGTATATAGTAGGGCTACTGATTTTCTTGAGTTGATCTTGTATCCTGCCACTTTGCTGAAGGTGTTAATCAGCTGTAAGAGTTCCCTGGTAGAGTTATTTGGGTCATTGATGTAAACTATCATATCGTCTGCAATCAGTGAAAGTTTGACCTCTTCCTTCCCAATTTGTATCCCCTTGATCCCCCTTTGTTGTCGTATGGCAATAGCTAGAACTTCAAGTACCATGTTGAAAAGGTATGGAGAGAGTGGACAGCCTTGTTTTGTTCCTGATTTTAGAGGAATTGCGTTGAGTTTCTGTCCATTTAGTTTGATGTTGGCTGTTGATTTACTGTATATAGCTTTTATTATGTTTAAGTATGACCCTGTTATCCCAGATCTCTCCAAGACCTTTATCATGAAGGGGTGTTAGATTTTGTCAAAGGCTTTTTCAACATCTAGTGAGATGATCATGTAACTTTTGTTTTTCAGCTTGTTTATATGGTGGATTACGTTGATGGATTTTCGTAGGTTGAACCATCCCTGCATCCCTGGGATGAAACCTACTTGATCGTGGTGAATGATTGTTTTGATGTGTTCTTGGATCTGATTTGCCAGTATTTTATTGAGTATTTTTGCATCAATGTTCATGAGGGATATTGGTCTGAAGTTCTCTTTCTTAGTTGTATCTTTGTGTGGCTTGGGGATCAAGGTTATTGAAGCCTCAGACAAAAAGGCAGCCCACAGAATGGGAAAAAATATTCACTAATCCCACATCTGACAGAGGGTTGATCTCCAAAATTTACAAAGAACTCAAGAAGTAAGTCTCCAAAACATCAAAGGACCCAATTAAAAAGTGGGCTGCAGAACTAAATAGAGAGTTTTCAATAGAGGAGTCTAAAATGGCTGAGAGGCACTTGAGAAAGTGCTCAACCTCCTTAGCCATCCGGGAAATGCAAATCAAAACAACTCTGAGATACCATCTCACTCCTGTCAGAATGGCTAAAATCAAAAATACCAATGACAATTTATGCTGGAGAGGATGTGGTGAAAGGGGGACACTCCTCCATTGCTGGTGGGAGTGCCAACTGTTTCAGCCACTTTGGAAATCAGTATGGAGTTTCCTCAGAAAAATGGGAATAAACCTACCACAAGACCCAGTAACTCCACTCTTAGGCATATATCCAAAAGATGCCCATTCATGCAACAAACATGTCTGTTCCACTATGTTCATAGCAGCTTTATTTGTAATAGCCAGAACTTGGAAGCAACCTAGATGTCCCTCAACTGAAGAGTGGATAGAGAAAATGTGGTACATCTACACAATGGAGTACTATTCAGCAGAAAAAAAATAGTGGAGTCATGAGATTCGCAGGCAAATGGATGACACTAGAAGAAACCATCCTGAGTGAGGTAACCCAGTCACAAAAAGAGAAACATGGCATGTACTCTCTCATATATGGATTTTAGACATAGATCTGGGGAGTGCCAGCCTACAATCCCATGGCCAGAGCGTCTAGGAAACAGAAACTTCATTTAGTGGCTGATCGAAGAAGAGGCAGACACCCTTGGTTAAGTACTGAGCTGAACTCAAGAAAGCCAGTAACAGAGAGGGAGGACTGATGATCAAAGAGATTAAGACTGGGCTGGTTTAACCCCCAGAAACAGCTGACCTGACAAAGGTTAACTCTTGAATCCTAGGCTAATGCCTGGGAATCCAGCATGGGAATGATCAAGACCCCCTGAATCTGGGTGTCAGTGAGGAGGCCTAGGTAATCTATTGAGCCTTGGGCAGCAGATCAGTACCCATCCCAAGTATACACACGGACTTTGAACTCCCATAGAACAATGTGAGGTGCACTCTCACCCTGAACTCTTGGGGAAGGGTCTAGGCCCTGCCCTATATGAAATGACAGACTATGGACACCCCCATGGAGGGCCTCATCCTCCCTGGGGGAATGAGGGGATAACGGGGGGGGGGTTGGGGGGAGGGCACAGGAGGAGGGGAGGGAAAGGGAGATGGACCTGGAACTGACTTGTGAAGCAACCTTGTTTCTTATCTAAATTTAAACTGGAAAATAAAATAAAATAAAAAAACATGGATAAAAATTAGTTATCTGTACATTCTGAGAAATATGTGATAGGCAACATGTCACTCTTATTCTAATTTATTAAAAATGTTTAATATTTATTTCTGTTTGAATTTGGAAGAGGAGATTGTTGAGATGATTACAAGCACCCTCTCCATATGAACAAATTCTGTACTGTATGTATCAAGGCCTTATGTTTTATTGAATACTTTCCAAAAGCTAGGTGTAAAATATAAGGACAACATACTCTCATTTATGATGGGTACATATTAGTCTTATGATTTGGGAAAAACATGTATGTTTGTTAATAAGAATGTTATTGATGAATGTACTGCAGTCCTTTTTTTCAAAGTTTCAATTTTGTGAGTGACAATAGAAGTAATCAATTATATAAACTAGAATTTACTCTCTGAAGAGATTGCTCTTGTGAAAAAGGTGTCATATTTATATGCTTACACGTACATTGCTGTTTTCAAGGACTAATTATGCACACCTGTTAACAGAAGTTAAACATTCCTGCAGGACCGTGAGCATTTGAGTGCTTAAGAACTGATATGACCGCCAGGCGTTGGTGGCGCATGCCTTTAATCCCATCACTTAGGAGGCAGAGGCAGGCGATCTCTGTGAGTTCCAGACCAGCCTGGTCTACAGAGCAAGTTCCAGGACAGAGTCCAAAACAATACAGAGAAACCCTGTCTCGAAAAACCAAAAAAAAAAAATAAAAGACTGATATGACACAGTTTATTTTTTAATCATTACTATTTACTCATTAAGTATCCTTCAATCATATAATGATATACACATATTTTTATTTTTACAGTAAATTTCTTTGCTTTATTTTATGATTTGAAGTTATCATTAGTTAAAGTTTATCTTTTTCAAAACTTTTCCTTAACTGTTGTTGTTTCAGTAGAAAAAAATCACTCATTCAGGGCTTGCTCTTTTTAGGCTTTGTTGTGAAGCAAGGTCTTGCTTTATAGTTCATGGTGGCCTCAAATTAAAAAATACCCTTGTCTTAGCTTCCTAGTATAGGAATTAAAGCCACATACCACTATAACCACTTTATCTGGCACTCTCGGGAATCTTAATATTCTCTATTTACTCATGATGTAGGAAAAGATAATGGAAAACCTTCATTCCATTTGTGAATAAAAATCATTACATATAATTTTCATTATTTTCCTCAGGTTTTTTAATTGACCAAAGAAAAGTATTTATTGTTTTTATGCAACAATTGGATAGGTTAGTAGACTGCCTTTTTCTTTTATTTTAAACAGCTATTATATAAGAAGTTACACATACACAATGGTATGGAAAAGACTGTTTTGAAATAACAACAACATGCATTTTCATGTATTCAGCTGGATTCTTCCAGACAGTCTGCTTATCATTTTTTATTATACATCCAATTAGGTTAAATGCTAATATTTACACACTAAACAAATTGTTTTAAAGACATAAGAACATTTCAATATTTATTCCTTCCATGTGGAGATACTTGGTTTGAGAAGGTAATATGTCATTCATATAGATTCTTTACCCTATTATTATTTGATTTCCCACACATCTATTCATTCTTAGTATTCATTAATGTTTATGTATAAAGGAGTCTTTATGTATTATAATAATTACATAAAATCAATGAAATATATGATGAGTACATGACAAACCTCTTCTATGTTCTATTAATTTAGTTTGAAAGTATACATAAAATTATGGAGATTAAGATAAGACTTAATGAAACCAATGTCCATGGAGATGTGATAAATCTACCAGATTTCATGAATAAAATCAAATAATTAGAGGTCATGCTAATGAGTATAAAAAGATATACTTTCAAGTTCTCTTTAGTATCTCAGAGGGCATTCTAAGGATAAGGAGCAGAAGATGAGAATTTCAAGAAATATGAGTACACAAAAGTTTGGGGTCGATGTTTTAAGAACACAAATCCATAGTTGAAGTAGAGTGAACATAATTCATCATTAGCCTGATATATCCATTGTCTCTGAGCTCCCTGCCTTGTCACCCTAATCTCCATTCTTTTCTTTCATTTCTCTTAGAAACACTCTTTCAGAGATGAGATGGATTTCCACAATCTTACCAGAGTGACTCAGTTCATCCTCGTAGGGATCTCTGACCTCCATGAGGTGCATTGTAGGAGGAAGTCTGCATGCCGCCATTAAACATGTGACTTACTAGAGGCGCATACAGATGAGGTAATAAAAGGGCGGTTTACCACACCGCTAACCACACCCATTTTAGGCAGGACTAAAGACGTATAAGGCTGGACGTAAAGACGTATACGTACGTAGGCGGAACCATGTCACTAGCCATGCCCACTTTGGGCATGGCTAGGGAGCGTTAAGGGGAAAGGCATAAAAGACAGCACACAGGAAATCTCGGTCTGTTTTTCCTGGAGTTCGGCTTCTGGTCCGATAGCTGAAAACTGCTTGGCTACTCTGGGTTTGGTATCTTGTGAGTAATTTCTACATTAAATACTTAGCTTTACTTTCAGTAATTGTGTGTCGTGTATCGTTACAGCGTCCATTGAAGCCTACAGTGAGAGAAAGTTTCAAACTCCCATGTATTACCTGCTGGCAAATTTGTCCCTGAAATACATATTCTGCCCATCAGTTACTGTTCCCAAGATGCTCAAGAATCTCTTGACGGAGGATCATAGTATTTCATTTGTTGGGTGTGCTCTGCAGCCCTATTTCTTGGTGACCCTAACTGGGACTGAAGTTTTCTTGCTGGCCTTGATGGCTTATGACCAGTATGTGGCCATATGTTTTCCGCTGCGTTACTCCCTCATCATGACCAAGGTTCGCTGTGTACAGCTGTTGTTTGGAACCTGGTCCTCTGGGTTTCTCAACTCCTTTATCCATACAATGCCTACATTTATCCTGCTTTTCTGCAAGTCCAATCGAGTTAACCAGTACTACTATGATATCCCACCTGTAGTGACCCTGTCATGCTCTTCTACCTACATGGCAGAAATGCTTATTTTAATGGTAGGAGATATTTTTGGTGTTGTTGCTTTTCTGACTACTTTTATCTCTTATACATACATTGTCTCTCCCATCCTAAAAATCCAATCAGTGGAAGGGAAGTGTAAAGCATTCTTCACATGTGCTTCCCATCTTCTTGTAGTCTTCTTGTTCTATGGCACAGCTATATTTACCTATATATGCCTCTCCTCCAGTCAACACTCTCCTGACAGAGACAGACTCGTCTCTATGTTGTATGGGGTCATTACTCCCATGTTAAACCCCATTATTTACAGGCTGAGAAACACAGAAGTCAAAGAAGCACTCAGAATAATTGTTTCATATTAGGATGCGCTCACAGAAAGAATGATGTAAGACTTATAAGTACATTATCTGAGTAACTGTATCTATCGCTGTCTTGTATCAATATCTATATCCACATGGATGCCTATGATATTTACATATGTATTATCTGTTTCCTTTTGTTTCTAATCTACATTTATCTATGTAAATACAGTTCTTCACATCTACTTTGTTTTGTAATTTTTAAAAGAATTTTATTTATGAGCATGAGTGCCTTGCCTGCTTGTACATATGCATGTATTCTTTTTTCCATGTATCATTAGTTTTTTCACTCAATATATGTGTTTATTTAAATTAGAAAAATGAATGCTTCACATGTCAATCCCAGCTCCCTCTCCCACCCCTCCTCCCTTGTCCCTCCACCAGCCTACCCAGCCCCCCAACCCATCACCACGTCATTCCCCAGGGAGGGTGAGGCCCTCCTTGGGGGATCTCCAAAGTCTGTCATTTCATCCAGGGCAGGACCTAGGCCCTTCCACATGTGTCCAGGCTGAGAGAACATCTCTATATTTAGAATGGGCTCCCAAAGATCATTCATACACCATGGTAAACACTGATCTACTACCCAAGGCCGCAGTGATTTCTGTGGCCTCCTCACTGGCACTGCATTCATGGAGTCTGGATCAGTCCCATGTTGGCCTCTTATCCATCAGTCTGGGATTCAAGAGCTCCCCCTCATCCAGTCAGCTGTCTTTGTGGGTTTCACCATCAATGTCTTGAGCCCTTTGTTCATCACTCCTCCATTTCTGTCACTAGGTTCCAGGAGTCAGTTCAGTGTTTAGCTGTGGGTATCTGTCTCTGCTTCCATCAGAGGTTCTAGGATGGCATATAAGGTAGTCATATAAGTTTGCCAGTTAGTGTCATCCATGTAGATGTCTGAAGATCTCACTAGTGCCAGATCTCTCCTCAAGCCTATAATGACTCCCTCCATTATGGTATCGCTCATCCTTCTCTCCTCTATTCTTCCCCCAACTTAATCTTCTTGCTACCCCATGACCTCCTCTGTCCTCCTCTTCTCCCCTTCTCTTTTTCCCAGTTCCCTGTCCTCTCCCCCCATGCTCCCAATCTGCTCAGGAGATCTTGCCTCATTCCACTTTTCTGGGGTACCATGCATATCTCTTTTAGGTTCCTTCCTGCTTCCCAGACTCTCTGGCAGTGGGATTGTAGGCTGGCACTCCCCTGTTCCACGTCTAAAATCCATATATGAGTGAGTACATACCATGTACGTCTTTTTGTGACTGGGTTACCTCACTCAGGTTGGTTTCTTATAGTGCCATCCATTTGCCTGAAAATTCAAGGTTCCATTTTTTCCCGCTGAATAGTACTCCATTGTGTAAATATACCACATTTTCTCTATCCACTATTCAGCTGAGGGGCATCTAGCTTGCTTCCAGGTTCTGACTATTACAAATAATCCTGCTGTGAACATAGTGGAACAGATGTCCTTGTTATATGAATACACATCTTTTGGGTGTATGCCTAAGAATGGAGTTGCTGAGTCTTGTGGTAGAATGATTCCCGTTTTCCTGAGAAATCTCCATACTGATTTCCAAAGTAGGTGTAGGAATTTGCACTCCCACCAGCATTGGAGCAGTGTGTCCCTCTCTCCACATCCTCTCCAGCACAAATTGTCTTCGGTGTTTTTGATTTTAGCCATTCTGATAGGAGTGAGATGATATCTCAGAGATGTTTTGATTTGCATTTCCCTAATAGCTAAGGATGTTGAACACTTTCTCAAGTGTCTCTCAGACATTTTATACTCCTCTATTGAGAATTCTTTATTTAGTTCTGTATCCCACTTTTTAATTGGAACCTTTGGTGTTTTGGAGACTTGCTTCTCAATGCAATTCCTCTAAAATCAGGAACAAGATAAGGCTGTCCACTCTCTCCCTATCTCTTCAATACTGTACTTGAAGTTCTAGCTAGAGCAATAAGACAACAAAAGGAGATCATGGGGATACAAATCGGGAAGGAAGAAGTCAAACTTTCACTATTTGTAGATGATATGATAAATTTACATGAGTAACCAGAGAAACTCTTCCAGGAAACTCCTACAATTGATAAAAACCGTCAGCAAAGTGGCAGGATACAAGACTAACTTAAAAAAATCAGTAGCTCTATTATATACAGATGATAAATGGACTGAGAAAGAAATCAGAGAAACATCAGCCTTTACAATAGCCCCAAACAACATTCAATATCTGGGGATAACACTAACCAAACAGTGAGAGATCTGTATAGCAAGAACTTTGAGTCTTTAAAAAAAGAAATTAAAGAATATACCAGAAAATGGAAAGATCTCCCATGCTCTTGGATTGGTAGGATCAACATAGTAAAAATGGCAATTTTGCTAAAAGCAATCTACAGATTCAACACAATCCCCATAAAAATACTAGCACAATTCTTCATAGACCTTGAAAGAACAATAATCAACTTTATATGGAAAAACAAAAGATCCAGGATAACCAAAACAACCCTGTACATTAAAGGAACTTCCAGAAGCGTCACCATCCCTGACTTCAAACTTTGTTATAGATCTATTGTCCTGAAAATAGTTTGGTATTGGCTCAAAAATAGACAGGTAAAACACTGGAATCTAATTGAAAAACCTGATTTTAACCCACACACCTATGAACACTTGATTTTGGACAAAGAAGTTAAAATTATACAATGGAAAAAAGCATCTTCAACAAATGGTGCTGGCATAACTGGATATTGGCATGTAGAAGACTGCAGAAAGATCCATGTCTATCACCATGCACAAAACTTAAGTCCAAATGGCTCCAAGATCTCAACATAAATCCAGCCACACTAAACCTCCTAGAAGAGAAAGTAGGAGGTACTCTTGAACGAATTGGTATAGGAGACCACTTCTTGAACATAACACCAGTAGCACAGACACTGAGATAGACAATTAACCAATGGGATCTCCTGAATCTTCTGCAAGGCAAAGAACATATGCAACAAGACAAAATGGCAGCCCACAGAATGGGAAAAGATATTCACTAACCCCATATCTGACAGAGGACTGATCTCCAAAATTTACAATGAACTCAGGAAGCAAGTCTCCAAAACACCAAAGTATCAAATTAAAAAGTGGGATTCAGAACTAAATAGAGAATTCTCCATAGACGAGTCTATAGTGGCTGAGAGACACTTGAGAAAGTGCTCGACATCCTTAGCCATTAGGGAAATGCAAATCAAAACAACTCTGAGATACCATCTCACTCCTGTAAGAATGGCTAAAATCAAAAACACAGAAGACAATTTATGCTGGAGAGGATATGGAGAGAGGGGAACTGCTGGTGGGAATACTAACTAGTATACCTACTTTGGAAATCACAATGGAGATTCCTCAGGAAAATGGAAATCAGTGTACTACAAGACCCAACACTTCTACTCTTAGGCATATACCCAAAAGATGCATATTTGTACAACAAGGATGTTTGTTTGATTATGTTCATAGCAGCAGTAGTTGTAATAGTCAGAACCTGGAAGCAACCTAGATGTCCCTCAACTGAAGAGTGGATAGAGAAAATGTAGTACATTTACATCATGGAGTACTATTCAGTGGAAAAAACCCAATGGAATCTTGTAATTTTTAGACAAATGGATGGTACTAGAAGAAACCATCCTGAGAGATGTAACCAAATCACAAAAAGACAAGCATGGCATATACTTACTCATGTATGAGTTTTAGACATAGCTTAGTGGAGTACCAGTCTACATTCCCACTCTCAGAGAGTCTGGGAATCAGGTAGGACTCTAAGAGAGCTATGCATGGTACCCCAGAAAAGGTGAATGAGCCAAGACATGCAGAGCAGACTGGTGGCATTCGGGGAGGGGAGGGAGAGAGAGGAAGGGGAGAGGAGAAGAAGGGGAAGCAGGAAGATTAAGTCAGGGGAATAATAGAGGAGAGCAGGATGAGAGATACCATAACAGAGGAAGTCATTATAGGTTTGTGGAGAGACTTGGCACTAGTGAGATTTCCAGAGATCTACAATGATGCCACCAACTGACAAACTAAGCAATTGTGGAGAGACTACCTTAAATTTTCATTCCTGATAAAGAGTTTGATGACTTTCTTATATGCCATCCTAGAACCTTCATCCATTGACTGATGGAAGCAGAGACAGACACCCACAGGTAAACACTGAACTGGAACCCAGTGACAGAGAGGGAGGAATGACAAGCAAAGGGGTTAAGACCGGGCTGTTGAAACCCACAGAAACAGCTCTTCTGAACAAGGGGGATGGCTGGGAGACTAGCATGGGACTGATTCAGACCCCCTGAATGTGGGTGTCAGCGAGGAGGCCTAGACAATCTGTGGGGCCCTTGTTTTTGTCTCAAGCATATAGGTAGACTTTGCATGCCCCCCCCCCACAGTGAGGGTTGCTCAGTCAGTCTGATCTCTTGGTGAAGGAACTGGGCGGATCCCCACAGATGGTCTCATCTTCCTTGAGGAATGGAGTGGGGACTGGGTGGGGGCCTGGGAGAACTGGTGGGGGATGGGGGAGGAGGTGAGTGAGAGGGAGCTGGGATTGACATGTGAAGCAAGCTTGAAATAAAAAAAAGAAAAAAATGATTTATCTATTGTGTATAAAGCATTCTGTCTGCACAGATGTTTTCAGGCCAGAAGAGGACACCAGATCTTATTACAGATGGCTGTGAGCCACCCTGTGGGTGCTGGGAATTAAACTCAGGACCTCTGGAAGAGCAGCCGTTGCTCTTAACCTCTGAGTTAAATTTCCAGACCAATATATTGCACTTCTTATATTTTTGGTTGTGAGCCTAGCCTTTAACGGCTGAGCCATCTTTCCAACCCTATATTGCACTTCTAAAAACTGAAATTTAATTGATTCCAAAATGCTTCATTTAAAAAAAATCTTTCTGCCAATATCACGAGAGAATAGAATGGTTTTTCAGGAAGACAAAATGTGAAGAATATGAATACTCTTCTTTGGTTTTCATAGTCACATTCTTCT